CAGCTGGGTGTTCGCCACCCACCGTTCTGCCCCGTGGGTTTTGAAAACACTCATGTGTAAACACGTAGAGTACTCATATCTTCCTGGTGTACATCTTACTGTCTTCGGTTTCACAGTGCTTTGTCTCAAAGTGTATTTTTCAAAATAATTTTGCAGCCTTAACTGCATGACCACCAGACATAGTCATGGTGTTTCTGAGACAGCCTGCACTTCCTGCGTAATTCTGTCTATGAGTCGCTTCTAAAATGTTGCTCCAGTTACCCGGATGTCGGTTACCTAACAGATCGTAGAAAACAGAACAGTTTTGTATGTTTTATTTTTTGTTGTTGTATCTGGTGATATATAAAGTAGGTACATAGTTATCCATACTTAACAGAAACTGAGTTAGATGGGTTAAGTGATATACTAGAGTTTACACAGTAATAACACAGGGTTATCTATTAGTTCCTGTTAGTGATGGATAAGGAAATCTATCAGTTTCACATCAGAATTTCCTTAAAGGTCTGTCAGGCTTGCTAAAATCAGTATTATAACATTGTGGGTGTTTTCTTTTTTCAGTCTTTGCTACTTAAAATTCCTTGACATGGTAGGAAGTGGCTATTCTTCTCAGGCAGCATGTCTCACAGAGCAACAGACCCATTTGTTCAGTGGTATTTTTAGACAAATTCTAGCACTTTCATTTTAGAATCGTTCTGTGCTGCGTTGTTATAAGATTCAGTCTGTTGCCTTCGTGTGTGGAAGTCAGCCCGAGGCTACAGTCACTTAAGATCTATTTCCAAGGAGACATGGAGACCTGTAATAAATCTTCCCCTGTCATTCTCTTCCAGGAGATGTGAATGAGGATTGAAGGTAAAAATTACAGTGTGACGAGAACTAGATTAGTTTTGGCAGGTTTAACTTGTTTTGAAACTTTTCTAATTTTCCGTTTTAATGCTTCTCAATTAAGTCTAGACAAGAGCTTTGAACTTGGAGGCAGAGGCAGGCCCGACCTTGGCCCCGGCGGCACACTCCTGTGGGCCAGATCAGTCACCGGGCTTGGCTGAGATGCCCCTGCCCTTTTCGATCAAGTTAAAGTTTCAGAAATTAAAAATTAACACCTTCATACTTACCGCAAAAATTTTAGTAGGTCAAATTTAATAATGTGTACAAACTGTGAACATGGTATTATTGGAATTTTTAAAGAAAAAAAATGGAACCTGAACCTCTTTCACACATTAGAATGTTCAGTGTTGAACCCTATAAAACTCAAAATATTCTGCTTCTTTGAGCCACTGGGGAGTTTGTGATAATGTGGAAGCATCTCTAAAGGTTCCTTCATCTTATATCATCTTAGTTTGTAAAACAACACTGAGTCAGATAAGTGAAAAGTAATATTACTTCCTATGGGTTTAGATATGGGAGTTTGTCTCTTTGGGTCCAGATAGCGTTTTCATTGTATTGATTACATGCCAGCTGGGTTACTGGTCACCAGCAAAACAGATCAGCCGAGACGTGCTGCATGCAGAGTCCCCCCTGCAGACTGTGCGGAGGGCCGGCGCTCGGGGCCAGGTGGGGAGCTGCGGACTGGCAGCCTGGGCAGCACCAGGCGTGGCTCTCTGCCGCCGAAGAAGCCCTTTCTTGTGTTGGGTGACAGTGTCCCCGCCATTTCTATCATTAGATCCAACGTGTTCACAAGGGTTATCAGTGGGAGGAGGTCTTCGCTTCAGGGAGGGTTGAATTATTGTCACAACAAGGGTTTGTACAGGGACTGTCTTAACCTTGGATATTTATGCAGCTTCTACCATAGTATGTGTTCTGAGTGGCCATAAATAAAACAAGATACTTTATCGCAGCAACTTGGCTCTGTCAGTATTTGCTGCCAAAGATGTTAACAAAACTGTATTTAAATTAGTCTGGTGAGATTGTGAAGTGATGGCAAATATCTGACAAATGTATGGAGCTTATCTGATGGTAAGTTAAGCTCAGGGGGCAACATTCAGAGAACTTAAGTCATGCCAAGTTTGCTGAAGTGTTCGCATTTTTGAAGATATTTCTAAAATATTCCAAAAATGTTGTGCTTTCTTAATATAATAGAAAAGCAATTAGTTTCATTTTTGTTCCCGTGCATCGTCTGCACTGTGGCAGCTTGTGTTCACCCCAAGAGTGCAGTGAACAGCCTCCTCCCTCAGGTGGGGGGTGTGCGTAGGCTCGGGCCCCCAGCAGCGTTGGACTCAGAGGCCACCTTTGTGCAGGTTAGCCGTGACCAAGGCCGTGGTGGGGTCTGCTGTCCAAGCCACAGCACTTTGAAGAAGGAAGAGGGGTGCCGTTGTTAATCACACCACAGCCCAGCCTGTCCCGTCAGGCCCGCCCGCGTGGGGGGTCCCCCTCGCCGAGAGCGTTTCCAGAGACAGGCGTCATACTCAGGGGCGTGCGTCTCTTCCCATTAGTTCCTGCTGTTCGTGGGTTGGTTGAGTGACTTGCTGCACTGGTGCTTCTTACCACTTGCCACTTTACGGGGCTCTTCTTAACCCCCTCCTTACAGTCTGGAAAACGCGGTGCTGAGAGGCTGGCCTGCTGCTCAGGCAAGTGAGGGCCAGTAGGAAACGCCAGCTGCCTGACCTCAGACGCACGGCCGAGTCCGGTCGGGCTCCAGAAATGTGAATTTAAACGGTCGGGTGCATCGGTGGGTACAGGGTGAAGGAATATCTGATTCCAGAAATGGGAACTGCTCCTCCACACGGAGCAGAACGTGGAGGGGCGGGGGGCCTGCTGCCGCTCGAAGACTGATGTCGGGTCTCAGTAGTTTACAGGGAGCGCGGCCTTCGTCGTTGGAAAGGCCACGTCGTCAGAGTCATACAAAGCCAGGCATTAACTCCTCAGAAACGAACGCAAGTGCGTTTGTTTTCATAGAAAGAGCAGAGTAATAGTGGAAAATTTAAATTGGATTATTAAAATAAATTATGTCAAAGTAGGTCACCAGAGTTCATTATTGGCATCTTATGTTTCAGGGGCAGAAACAACAGCCGCACCGTTTTCCTATGTGGGGGCGGGAGGGGTCCCCACAGGCCTTTCTGCATCTTACAGCCAGGGAGAACCGTGGAGGTGGAAACAGCACCGCCGTCATAGCACAAGAGGCACGTTTTATTATCATCAGGGCCTTTCAGATGCTTGTCATCGTCTTGTAAATGCCTCCATTGCTTCATCTGTACCCCTCGTGTGGTATTTGGGGCACTTCCCCTTGGAGTGTTACTTTCGACACACATCCCTTTCTCCTTCCTGGTCAGCAAGACCAAGAAGGATCCGCCGTGGCTTGGGAGGCCGCCACGCACACGCTGGGATGCTCGGCACAGATGAGACAGCCGGGCCTCGCCGGCCGGTCCGGCCTGCTTTCACCGCTCCGCTGCCCCTCGGGCAGGGCCACCCCTCGGTCCTCGGGAGTCAGCCAGCGTCAGACCACCAACGCAGGGCTGCTCCCGACCGCAAAGCCCGGCAGACTTCTAGAGAGACGCAGCACAGCGGACCACAGGCATTTCGATAGAAGACACTTGGGCGAGAGTACAAAGGGTCTGGCGTGCCAGCAAGTGAGCAGTTGGAATGAGACACCTTGTGGTTCCCTCTCTGGCTAGAGCCGGGTTCATGGCCCAAATGTGTCCATGGAATGAGGCCGTAAGACACATGTGCTTAACTTGCATTCCGACCTTGTGTTGTATTTCCCTGTCCCCTAACATCCTCATCTCTTAATTAATAGGTGCACTGCATAGTAAATACAGGCATTTGATATTACTATCGACTGAAGTTGTCATTGCCATTCCTCATCCCTTTTGGGGAGAAACTTGAGTATCAATGGAACTAAATTTGCAGAGGGTCACTTCCACTGTCAAGTGGTAGGACCTCTCAGCGGCGGCACGAGTTTTGAGGGTTCTGCAATCTGGGGTTCCACAGGCACTTCTCCACCTGAGGCAGGCGCCAGAGCTGTACCCCGTTCGAGGTCAGGAAGTGGTGTTTGTCCTTTTTCCCATGGTGCCTAGAAAGGTGCCTTCTCCTAGGAGTTTGTTGAATGAACGGATGAGGAATTGGTTGGTGCTTTTTGCCCGTATTGAGATGTACCACTTGTGTATCTTACTATTTAATTTCCTTTGGAATATGTGAATATGAATTTGATGCTCATCAGACCCTCATTCACTATTTGTCGACGGCCTAATCGGCAAATCAGGCAGAAACACTCACAAATGAGCTTTCCCCAAATGCAGGTTGCCCGGGGGGCCGCAGCGTCACTGGCATGGTGGGAGCCTTTGGTCGGCGCAAAGGGTGGGGGCCGCGGGTCTCCGTCCTTTCCTCCTGGGGCCTGCAGGAGGTGCAGTCGTGAAAAGTGTCTTTTTTTCCTCTCAGTGGTAATTTTAAGAAAGTAAGAAGGTCTCCTAGAATATAAGTTTCTGGGAAACTGGGATTTTTTTTTATCTGTTTTACTCACTGATACATCGTCTGTGCCTGTCACATAGTTGGCAGTTGGTGAATGTTTGTGGAGTGAACTGTCCTTTGACCAAAACCCACTGGTACCCACAGGCGTCAGCCCGACCGACGTCAGTCAAACACACCGCCACACCACGCACGCTGCTGCTGTGCAGCTTTCCTTGTAGTGACCGGGAACGATGTCTGGTTCCCGGCCGCAGGGAGCAGCCCGCCCTTGACAGCGCTTCCTGCTCCTGTTCCCTTTGGAAGCTAAAAGTGGGATGCACGGCATTAGTAATGAGGCCGAACGTCGGGATGTGGCGAGCTGGAAAGGGTGCCGCTGCCAAGCCAGAAAGAGGGACAAAATCCCAGCTTCTCTCGAGCTCATGAGAGCGCCGAGGTCCTCATCCTTTGTTATCTGTCAACAAAAATGTTTCAGAGATGTTTTTAAACCACAACGCAATTGTAGTCTTTTTTCATTTGACGTTGTTCTTCACTTTCCTGCTCGTGAGTAGCATAGTGCAGTGACTTACTTATTAAGCACTGACGTAGGTCTTCTTCTGTCTTCCCAGGCGATGCCCAGAAACATGGTGTCCCGCCTCTGCGAGTCCAAAAAGCTGTGTGCCGCAGCTGACATGCAGCTCCAGGTATGCAGGTACCTTGGTTCTGAAGCTTTCCGGGCCTTTTTCAAAAGGCGCATACAACTTTACATTTCTGCCAGTGCTACACATTTATTATAATAATTATGTTTCTGAAGCATCTTTCATCTGAGTTCAAAGAACTTGACCAAAATTGACTCATTTGATCCTTGCACTGTCTCGACACAGCCGATGACAAATCAGGTTATTTTCTATGTGCAGCCTGGAAAACCAAAGCTTGGACAAGTTACATCATTTTTTCTAAATCATACATTTCAGCAAGGGAATTGTGTATTACTCATTTTGTACCTTTAAAATTTGGTGTTTCTAGATGTGAGGTTTCCAGAGCAATGACGGTTAGTTTTCGATGATATTCAAACCCAGTTTCCTAGGTTTCCAGAGACCAGAGGCCTGGAGCACGTGGGTGTCAGGCACCTGCCACCCGGCCTCCGGTCGTCTGTGGTTCCTGAGCTAGTTGTGGGGTCTCACTCTCGCTCAGACCCTGAGAGTGACGTCGCCGACACACCCATCTTTCATTTCAAGCATCTCAAAATCGTCACTTCACAGTGACCCAGTTGCCTGTTTAGAGGGGTAGCCCTCCTTAACTACCTGATAGGTTTGTCAAATTCAGTCCCTGGAAAGTGGTGAGTGAGCTCTGTTTTTGTTGTACCTTACTTTCAGTGAAGAGAATGCTGACTGCGGACAAAATCGTGCTGTACATTTGACGTACATTATTTACTACCTGTTTATATCAGTGTAATTAAAGATGGATTTCTAAATTGTTTGAAACACTTAGCATTACTTGGAAAAAGTCTTTGGATTTGCTCTTCATTTTAGTAGAAGTGTTCATTTGGAGGCCTTTTATTTTGAACAGTTGTTTCAATGATATACTTTTAAACTGAAAAACCAACCTTTCCCTCCTCCTGCTCCAAAAAAGACTAACCTCCTGAGCGAGTGGAGGTGCAGGGGAGAGATTGTCATTGCCTGCCCCGGGAGTCCCGCGGCTCAGCCTTCACGACATGCCACAGTCCCCTTGACCAGAGACCAGCAGGGATGAGAAGGAGGTGAATTGTTCCAGGTTTCTAAGGGGTATAAGCAGTGTTTCAGCTTTTGGGAGCGATTTTTTTTTTCTTTTTGCAGTGCATTGTTTTACTCTTATTTTACTCTTAGAAATAGGCTCTTTTTTTCCTGTGGCTCTAAGGGTCTGGGCCCAGGCACACACGACCCCCTGGCTGAGCAGAGAGGCTCATCGCTTCAGGGTTGTTTTATCAGCAAGTGAGCGTGGAACACATGCATCGACTTTCTATTGCTCTGTTTTCATAATTTAAAAATAGAAGTCTTCCATACTTATGCCTTTTTGTGTGTGTGAAAGGCATAATCAAAAGAAGGAAACTCTTGAATTTTTATTTGTTTATAGATTGTGGGAAAAGAATACCCACCTCAGTTGAGGTTGGAGTTTAAGAGTTTTAATTCATAATAATTTATTCTGTTATAGTACAGACAAGTATGAGTAATTTTGGCTCCTCTGATTGCTTTATGCATTGTTATTCATTATAGCATATAGAAGTGAAAGAGCTATATTTAGCTATATGTTTAGATTACAAGTTAGAGTAAAGCAATATTTATATTTAGGAAAGGTCTGTATTTTTCTAGGGAAGGTTTAAACTTGACTTTATAATTTAGAACCATAATTCTATATCTAGATGAAGCCAGAAGCTAGAAGTCATTTAAATTTTTTCTTTTATCCAAACTAATCTCCACTTCTTTCAAGTCAACAGCTGCACATTCTCTGCAAATTCCATTTTTGAGTCAGAAAGATATATATCGGAACCAGAATTACGTATCAGAATTTTTTCTTTAAAATAAAGTGTTTTCTACTCTCATTTCAGGTGAACTCCAAATAGTGCTAATATTTGGTGCTAATAATAGTGCTAATAGCCAACTCAAAAAGCATTTTATCTTTCCTCTATATCTTATGCAAAATTTAGTTTTCAGAGCTATGCACCCGTATTTTTTGCACCATAAGTTGCACCTAGGTTTTAGAGGAAAATAGGAAGAAAAATTTTGAAAAGGAAATGTAAAATATTTAATAACATAAATAAATAATACATAAATAATAACATAATAATAACATAAACAAATTAATAATAATAGTATTTCAGCAGTGTAAATGTAAACAGAACTCAACAGCAGTATTAACAACCATTATTCCTCCCAAATTGGGGGCGGGGCGGAGCCTGTGTCTTTTCAGTCTGAATCATGCAGTAAGCAGCAGATTTCCTGTTTAAACTTCTGCTGATGGCTTCTTGTCCTGGTACGTGTCCACGGCCTGTGTTCTCTACTCAGAAGTGAGCCGTGCCTCCCTCCCTCCCTCCCTCCCGGTCACCTCCTCAGGCCAGAGCCGCCCCGCGCAGCAGCTGCACCAGGTGGTGTGGGGCTGGCGTGGCCCCCGCTGCAGACTCCCCAGCAGCTGCCCCAGAATGTTCTGTAACACCTGTCTTCCCCAACACAGAGTGCTGTCCCCTCCTGCACCCTCCTCCACCTCGCCGCCTTCTTCCCGCCTCTCCTCACAAAGCCGGGACTCGGGCCATGTCTTCTCTCTCATGTGAGCTGTACGAGGTTCCAGGAACAAACCAAACAGCATTTGTTAGGGCCTGGGCTCACGGCGGCAACTTTATTTTTTTTTTTATATTTCCAGCCATATTTGTTGCCTGTTGAGAGACAGACAGAATTTCAGTTTCGTAGTCACAAATTTAACTTGCTACCAATATTATATTTAAAGAGCACCGTACAGATAAGATTAAAAAATCTTTAATAGCTTTAATCGTGAAAGATTGAGAGCTTTTCTTTTCGTCACTGACAGTCTCAAATGTTGAACAGAAAACACCTCTGAAGCCACACACATCTGTCTGTGTCCGTGGATGTTTTCAGCCGCAATGTAAGATTACGGCTCCGGACCACTGGGCCCCGTCTGGACCACTGGGCCCCCTCCGGTGGAGCCCGTCTGGGGTGTAGGGCTGGGCAGCCCGCCCCGCTCAGGCGTCCTCTCTCTGCCCTCCTCCAGGTCTTCTACGCCGCGCTGGACCAGACCTACCACGGGCGGCACCCGCTGAGCAGCTCGACCACCGCCCTCCTGCAGGAGGCCCAGGAGCGGCTCTACGGCTTGCCCTACGTCCCCAACACCGTGAGTGCCATCGCCACCGAGCGGCTCTGCCGGTGTGTCCACAGGGGTGGGTGGGCTCCAACGGCCTTGCACGTGCGTCGAGGCCCCTTGCACATGGGCCAAGTGCCGGAAACGGCCAGGCCGCTCAGCGGCTGCAGCTGTGACTTTGCGTGTGCCTGGCCGCCTCCTGTTCACAGCACTTTTCCAGCTTCCTGAGAAGCGGGGGTCATGAAGGGCTGGCGTCAGTCTGCGCTCTGCTCCAGTACTTCCCGGGGTGAGGAAAACAGTGGCCATGTGCGGTGACGTGATTGTTAGTCCCGAATCCTTCCCGTCTCAAAGAGCACCAGTGTTCACCGAGCACCCGATTCGTGTCAGCGATCGCAGTGGGTGTGTTGCAGGTCTTATCTCAGCACCCTGTCGGGGTCAAAGGCAGGAGTTCTGCTACCATTTATTGGCTACTAGGTGCCAGACTCTGACTGCTATGTAAAAAAATAATCTAATATAACCCTCAAATCAGCCCATAAATTAGATAGTAGCCCCATACCTGGGGCTCAGATTGCGGCTCATGAACACTGGATACCTTGCCCAAGATCATTTTGTTGGTAACTGGTGGCGTGGGGCATCCAACTCGGCCTCCAAGCCACGCTGTCCCGGTGCTCCGGTGTCCTGTGAAGAAGCTGGTGTGGTGGGCGCGTGTGGGCTGGGGTCGTCAGCCAGGCTACAGACTTCTGCACGTCACTCAGGACTCGCATTTGTGGGCGGTAGAAACCCAGCTCGTATTGGCTTAAGCAGAAATGCGAATGTATCAAGTCTCACAAGTGAAAGGTGCAGGTATGTACCTGGCCTGGCTCCAGCTAGGCTGGATCTAGTTAGTTCTCGCAAAATACTGTCAGGGATGTTCCTCTTCCTTTCCTCCTCTCCGCTCCCTGTCTTCGCTCGGTCCCAGGCAGGCTGCGCTGACCAGGTGGTGTCGCGGCTGCTGGTGGGTCCAGGGTAACCCCGCGACTCAGCCAGTGCTCTGAAAGTCGTCTGTCTGCTGTAAAGTGCCCAGCAAGTGACTTTTTATTTCTTACAGTGCTGGGTGCCGGCACATGCGGTGCCAAGAGGATAAATGAGCCAGTGACCTCTGAGTGTCCTTGATCTTCAGGTCCCGATACTCAGACCTGCATGGGAACAGTTTCTGTTTACCAGACATGTCACACACAGGCCAGCTTCCCTTCACAGCACTCTCACCGCAGTTTTTCGCTGTCGTGAAAGCCCGGTCCTCTCCAGATGGCTAATGCTGGTCACACTCCATGCCTCTCTGACCTTCCATGGGATTCATTGTTCTGATGACATGTGCTGTTAAGCCCCGGATTATCCATGTCAGCGGAAGTTGGTAGTGAGAATAAGCTAACTATTCACTTGTGGAATAAATCCTAATGGTTGCCTAGATTTTAATACAATAGCATTTCCTGTTTGGAGAACATTGAGTGATTCACATGCTTTTGTGCTCACGTGTTTTTGTGCGTATTTTGTACTTTTCTTCTCTGCTCAGCTTTGAAACGGGTGTGACTTCTGAAGCAATCATTAACGGACATGAAGGAAAAATTCCACAGTAATAAAATAGTAGTAGGGGATTTCAATACCTACTCACATTAATGGGGATAGATCAGCCAGAGAGAAAATTAATATGGAAATAATGGCCTTAAGTGTCATATCAAACCACATCGACTTAGTAGACTTTTTTAGAACATTTCATTCAGAAACTCCCAAGTACATTTTTTTCACATACATGTGGAATGTTTTCTAGTGTAGATTCCATATTAGGATACAAAAGAAGCTCAGTAAATCCAAGAATATTGAAATCATAGTAACATTCTTTCCAGCCACAATGGCATGAAACTAGAAATTAACTACAGGAAGAAAACTGGCAAAAAAACAAATACATGGAGACTAAATAACATGCCATCAAACAACCAGTAGATCAAAGAGGAACTCAGAAACTATCCTGAAACAAATTAAAATGAAGACACAATTTTTCAGAACTTATGGAATGCAACAAGAACAGTCCTGTGAGGGAAATTTACAGGTGAACCTCAAGAAACAAGGAAGATCCCAGATAAGCAATCTAACCCTGTACCTAAAGGAACTAGGAAGAGTAGAATAAACCCCAAAATAAATGGAAGGAAATAGTGAAGATCAAAGTGGAAAGAATTGAAATTTAAATTTAAAAAACAATAGAGGAGATTAATAAAACTAAGAACTTAGTCTTTGAGTAGATAAACATATTGACAGAACTGTAGCCAGACTGATTGAGAAAAAAAGAGAGTGACTAAATAAATAAAATTATAAATGAAGGAGAAGATACAACTGATAGCACAGAACTACAAAGAATACTACTAACAATTTTGTGCCAACAAATGCGACTATCTAGAAGAAATGAATGATTTTATAGAAGCATATAAACTTCCAAAACTGAATCAGGAGGAAATAGAAATTCTAAACAGACTGATTACTAGCAATAAAATTGAAGCAATAATTGAAAACTCCCAACAAATTGAAGTCCAGTACCAGATGACTTCACAGGTGAATTCTGCCAAAGAATTAATGCCTATCCTTCTTAAACTATTTCAGAATATTGAAGAGGAAGGAACACTTCTAAACTCACATTCTACAAAGCCTGGATTACCCTGATACCAAAACTAGACAAATTGAAAAAAAATGTACAGGCCAATAGCACTGATGAACATAGATACAAAAATTCTCAACCAAATATTAGCAAATCAGATTTAACAATACAATAAAAAGATTACATACCATGACCTAGTGGAATTCATTCCAGGGATGCATTGTTGGTGCATCTGTAAATCCGTGTGAGACACCATAGTAACAAAATAAGGGTAACACCTTATGATCATCTCAGTACCTCCAGAAATAGCATTTGACAAAATCCAATGTTCTTTTATGATTTAAAAAAATCTCAACAAAGTGGATCTAGAAGCAACATATCTCAACAGATTAATGTTATTCATGAGAAGCCCCTACTCATATACTCAGTGGCGAGAAGCTGAAAGCTTTGTCTCTGTGGTCAGGAACAAGACAAGGACGCCCACTCTCACCGCTTCTATTCAACGTGGTATTGGAGGTCCTGGCCACAGCAGTCGGACAAGAAAAAGAAGCGACATCCGCGTTGGAAAGGAAGAACTCTTATTATTCGTAGATGACATGACACTACATGTGGAAAACCCTGAAGGGCCCTACCAAACACTGTTTTAGAACTAGTAAATGATCTCAGTCATGGTGCAGGTTGCAGAATCAACGGGTAGAAATTTGTTGTATTCCAGTAGTGAACAACCAGAAAGAGAATTAAGAAAACAACCCTATTTACAATTGCCTCAAAAAGCATGCAGTGCCTAGGAAAAAAATTAACCAAAGAGGTGAGAAAGACCTGTAATGTGAAAATTATAAAGACGGTGAAGAAATCGAAGATGATACAAATGAATTAAAGGATATACCTTGCTCTTTGATTGGAAAAATTAATATCGTTAAAGTATCTTTACTACCTAATGCAGTATACAGTTAAATGCAAGATACCAATGACATTCTTCTCAGAATTAGAACAACTAACATTAAAATTTATATGGAACCACAACAGGCGCCAACTAGCTAAAGCAATCTTAAATAAGAACAGAGTGGGAGGTATCACTCGTGCTCCCTGCCGTACAGATCTATGGAATAGAATTGAAAGTCCAGCTATAAATCCGTATTTGGTCAATTAATGCATGAGAAGGCAAGGCTACACAGTGGGGCAGAGAGTCTCTTCGGTATGTGGTATTAGGAAAACTATACAGACACATGCAAAAAAAATGAAGTTGGACCACGTTCTTAACACCATTTACAAAAATAAACTCAAAATGTATTAAAGACTTCAATGAAAGACCAGAAACCATAACGCTGCTAGAGGAAGATACAGACAGCAAATTCTTTGACATTGGCATTGCTCTTGGCAGTGTCTTTTTGGACATGTCTCCTTGGGCAAGGGCAACAAAAGCAAAAATAAACAAATGGAACTACTTCAGACTAAAAGATTTTGCATGGCAAAGGAAACCATCAACAAAATAAAAAGATAACCTACTAAATTTGGCAAGATATTCACAAATGATACATCTGATAAGGGGCTAATATCCAATATATATATAAGGAACTCATACAACATGACTCCCAAAACCCTCCAAAAAATCCAATTAAAAATGGGCAGCAGATCTGAATAGATGTTTCTCTAAAGAGGACACACAGATGGCCACCACACATATAAAAAGATGCTCAACATCAGTGTGCACTAGGGAAATGCAAATTAAAACCACAAGTTACTGCCTGATGCCTGTCAGAATGACTTTCATTAATTAATAAGTCAAAAATAACAGATGTTGGTGAGGTTGTGGAGAAAAAGGAACCCTCACACACTGTTGGTAGGATTGCAAGTTAGTGCAGCCACTATGGAAAATAGTATTGAGATTCCTCAAAAAATTAAAAATAGAGTTGTCATATGCAATTCCACTCCTGGGTGTTTATTCAAAGAAAACAAAATCACTAAATCAAAAAGATGTGTGCACCCATAGTAAACAATCATTGCATTACTAGTATTTAGCCAGGACCTGGAAGCAAGCTAGATGTCCGTCAGTAGGTGAGTGAATGAAGATGTGCTATATCTGTAGAATGGAGTAGTATTCGTCAGCAAAGAAGAATGTAGTCCAGACATTTACAGCAGCACAGATGGACCTGAAAGGTATTGTGCTAAGAGAAATAAGACAGACAAAGGCAAATACACATTGTATGATATCAGTTATATGTGGAATCTAAAGAAAACAAAACAAACAAAGAGAGACACAGAGAGCAAGTTCGTGGCTGTCAAAGCCGGGGTCGGGGAATGGAGGAGTATGAACAGACATGCACAAATGCAGTGGCTGTGACCTAAAGTCCATGAGAGGAAGCGCAAAACCATGTGGACAAAAACAGGAGAAGCTGGGATGCGTCTGCAG